AGCATGGAGAAGGGCAGTGGGCAGATTCGGCATTGGAGGCAAAGGACGTCATGTGTCTAGGAGGCGGCTCAGGTGGGGGCGGCGACAGCGGATCCAGTGGTGCAGCTCACCAGACATAGGGTAGGGGAGGTGGGGCAGGGGAAGCTTGCCAGAGTTACTGAAGAGGGCGATGTGATCAACATGTAGGAGGAGCAGGAGAAGGGAGGGACACAGAGAGTGTGTGTGGCGGGATTCTCACCCAGCCAATGGTGATGCTGGTCAGTTGGTCAGGCAGCGAAGGCGGCACGGATTGGCGATGGGCCAATGGGCAGGAGGAGAGGAGAGGAGATAGGGTTATGTGATTTGCATGAATCTTGATGAGATCTTGGCCATTCAAAAATCAGCTGAGGGATGGAGAAATATCAAGTAACTGATTACGGCCCATTTTCTTAATTAAATATTACAGCAAATATGGTGTTCCTATATGATGGAGACTAGAGGAGAAAACCCACGCAGCTGACTGTGTATGGTCTTTATTACCACCCTTCTTGGATGCCGAAATTATGTGGTGTCCACACAAATAGAAATAACTGAAGCAGAATCAAGGTAATTAAGGGACTAACTGTAAACTATTTATAGCACCACATTTTTTAAAAAGAAAAATCGTGGTTTTACACTATAAATGACATATATATTTATTACACTCTAATTGTGACTTTCAATTATATTGTAATTTTCAATACTTGCTATGTAAAATTTTCTAGTATGCATTATATATTTAAAGAATTAGTATAAAATCAATTGATTACATACTAGGAATAGGATATATAAGAGATGTAAACATATTTACATGCAAAATAGAGGTATTAATTACATAAGAAAAAAGAGGTTGAGATCAACTAAAAATTATGGCATCATATTTATAGCAAAACTGATTTAAGTATATGTGCACTATCCATATGACAGCGGAGGCAGCTACGGGTGCCAAGGATGACATGTGGTTAGGAGGGAGGCAGGGGCTGCAGCTGCGATCTAGCAATGCTAGCAGCCAGACACAGTGGAGGAGAGCAGGGGGCAGGGTAATCTTGCCAGAGTTGTTGAAGAGGGTGAAGTCACTGACACAGAGGAGGAGCGGGAGAAACGAGCAATAGGACACAGGAGAGTGTGTGGCGGTGAGTCTTACCTCGCAAGGATGATGCTGGTGATGCAGAGGAGGAGGCATGAATGGTGGTCTGACAAGCTCGATTGGGCGTGATTGGTGGATCTAGAGAAGAGATTGGATTACCTGATTTGCATGAATCTTGATGAGATCTCGACAGCTCAAAAATCGAGAGATAGAAAAATATCAAACAAATAATTAATAGGTGGCCCATTTTCCTAATTAAATATAACTACAGCAGCAAATATATTGTTCTTGTATCGTGGAGAGTAGAGGAGCAAACAACAGGGGCTAGTTGTGTATAGCCCTTTTTTTTACCAATATGTGTGGCACATATTAGATGCACACCAAAATTATGTGGTGGACACACAAATAGTGGGGGACTAAAGAGGAATTAGGGTAATTAAGTATGTGACTAACTATATTAAGTATGTGATGGATTCACATAATGTTAGTGTGACGGACTCACAGTATATATACACACGTCGGCGTTTCATTCTTGGAATTCTTGATCCGGAAGGCACTTGATGAAGACGAACAAGGGTAACGAGTCACCACCGACATCAGTCGGCGCGATAGAGGTGGCCACCACAAGGAGAAAGGAGGAGCCACGAAAGGAGGAGGGCAAAAGGCAAAGGGAGAGCAAGAAGATCGGCCCAAATGAAGCCAAGCCTGGAGATGCCATCCGCAAGCTTCTAAACGCCGCCGCCAGCCTTCTCATCGTCAGCCGTCGGCCGCCGCTAGCAAGCTTCTCCCCGCAAGGCCGCCCGCACGCCTCTCCCCGCAGCCTCTCACACTGGGTTGAGATGGGAAAAGAGGGGATATAGGTGGAAGAAACTGGGTTACTAATATGTGAGGTTTATGTGGGTTGCATGCTGACTCGGCCACCATGTTAGCTAAAACTAGGAGCAGTACTACTTGGGACCACCCGGTTTTGTAAGATTATTGCAGGGATTAATTTCAAACTGTGCGACAAAATGATAGACCAACAAAAAACTTATTCCTTATTAAATTGAGCGGGCTCCATGCACACCGGAATCTCATAGCAGCCTGTTCAGGCCCATTTCGCATGCAGGTGAGATTCCAAGTTTCGGCCCATTAACACGTTGGTGCGGATTTGCTATGGAATAAGTCCACTTGCAGTCCCTCAATTTTGCGTCAAGTTTGTTTGACATCCTATATCTCCAATACAGAAATCTTCACCCGTAAACTATACAAAACCGTGTAATTTGGGTCCCATAACAGTAAGATGTCCAGTTTCACTGACATTGCATCCTAGTTAGCAAAAAGAAAATAAAAAATGTGGGGCCACGTGTAAGTGAGCAAAAATGTGGGGCTTGCGCGCTCTCTCTTTCTCCCCTGCTACCTGCTTCCTTCCCAAACGGCGTGGCATGGCCTCGGATTGGCCGGCGGTGGCCATGTGGATGCTGACGCTCGGGAGGCGTAGCGCGGAACCTAAGCAGGTGCTCATCTATGTTGTCGAGGATATGGAAGAAGTTTGCATGGATGCTGTCGCCGTCAGCGTCGTCGTCCCCGCCCCCACCTCCGATGTGCGCGGCAAATGGCGCCACTGCAGAGACGCCTCACTTCCTTTCCCCGACCACGGCGAGAGCGAGTGCACGGCGGCCTTCCTTCCCAAAGGGACCAACCTGCGCGTGGTCATGGCGTTCCCGCTCGTTGGGGCAGGAGCCGGCGGCCACCATGAGTCGAGGCCATAGCGGGACGATGACGAAGGCCACCACCGGCATCACGAGGAAGAGCGCTGCAGAGTAGACGAGGAGTACGAGCTAGCTGGCCCCATCGGCTCCCTCTTTTTCTCAGACGGGCTCACCGGCCGCCTCCCCCCTCCCTCCCACCTCCGACTCCCCATCCCTCCCGCGTCCGCTTCCCTCGGAGATTGGGCGAGCTCGTCGGCTGCTTTCGTCGTGCCAACACCCGAGCGTAGTTTGTGCTTGGGAAGAAAAGAGAAGAGAAAAGAGGGCGCTGACAAGCGGGTCTCACATATATTTTGTGTTCTCACTTTTTAATTTTCCTTTTGTTGTCTAGGATGCCACGTCAGTGGAACTAGACATCTATACTACCATGGGACCTAAATTATATAGTTTTTACAATTTAGGGCTGAAGATTTCTACTATTAGAGATAATGGATGTTAAACAAAACTCAACATAAAGTTCAAGGACGGCAACTGGATTTATTCCTTTTGATATTCCCGTTGCTGCCCAAGCTATAGACTACTCCATATCTTTATCATATCTTATCTCATCTTATAAACCAATTTCAGGGATGGAAATGTGGTATATGATTGGGCCACATGGCTCATTGAGAATTTAGGGTTAGCTCCTCCAAATATCAGCAACGTGCCCATGCAATCTCTGATTCCATTAGAGTGTCAGTCATGCATTGTTCCTTGCAATCGCCATTGAACTTTCAGATAAATCTATGAGTAAAACCATCGACTAAAAGAAAATACGAAGCAGTAAATATAGAAAAACACCAGTATGCGTAGTAGATTATAGAGGTTTCTGAAAAATTCTTCTTCCTTCGTCATCAAAATCAAGGAAAAAAAATTAAGCAAGAGATTCCAGAGGTTGAAAAAGAACATTGGATCTGTCCCTTTGCTACTAAAGAAATTCCTTCTCTCAATCATGAACAAAAAACAATAAAGGTCAAAGTGGAAAAATAGAAAAAAAGCCATAATTAAGTTACTTCGCCTACAAAGGCACCTAGCACAATCGCCATCTTCCGCTTCCTGTTGGTTGTTACCCCCATAGCCATGTCGACGAGCCACGTGACATTTTGAGTACCGCCGGCATCTTCCAAATTATTTTTATATATGCAATTTTGTAAAATAAAATGGCAGTTGAATAAGGTGAAAAGTATTAGGCCAAGTTTGGTTGTTTGCCAACTTTATGCCCAGGTGGGCAAACTAGGTTGTTGCTAACGTCGCCCATGTTGCTTTACCGAGCTGTTTAGGCTGAGTTCGTTCGAAACTAATATCTCGCGCACATTAAAAAAAATAGAAAAATAGAGTAAATTATTAGCGCATGATTAATTAAGTATTAGTTATTTTTTAAAAATAAATTAATAGAATTTTCTAAAGCAACTTCCGTAAAAAAAAATAAATTGCAAAAAGTACATCGTTTAGCAATTTGAAAAATGTGAGTGTGGAAACCAAAGAAAGTGAGTTGGGAAAGTGAACAAATGAACTCAACATTAGGCTCCGTTTTATACAGAGTCTAGGATGAAGATTAAAGTGTGCATGTAAAACGAGACAAGCAATTAGCTTATGATTAATGAATTTGAATTATTAAAAACTTGATATATATAGATTTATTTGATATTTTTAAAACAACTTTTATATGGAACGATTTCGCACAAAACACAATATTTAGCCGTTTGAAAAGCGTGCTAACAAAAAATAAGGTAAAATCTATATCTTAATTAATTGTTTAGTTTTTGACGGGCAATTTGTGCAAAGGAAAGCTTGTTGTTAAAGGAGATCCGGGATCTCTACTGCGATCGAGCTTGTTCTCACCCGGTTGAGCTAGCTTGCCCCCAGAAGTTACAATTACTTTACGGTTTCAAACGGTGGGCCTCGCCAAGCCAGGCCTCAAGCTCAACCTGGGCGTTCGGTTTAAACCGACAATTCGGTTCGGTTTATTCGGTTGCTATAAAATTCGGTTTACAGGCTTCACCACCCGATCGGTTCTCCAAAAAACTGAAAACCGCAAAATTCGGTTTCGGTTTTTTAATTTTGGTTTTCGGTTTTAGCCGAATTAACCAAAAGTTACTACCACCAGCCACAACAATACAGAATTACATAAAAATGAACACAAGCAACAGCATATATGATATTATAGATATATCAAATCCTTAAGCAAGCAATAACCAGCAGCACAGCTGCATAGAATTACACAAAGTAGTCACACAGTACACAAATCAACATGTCTCAAGAGTACAGTTACATAGATTCAAGAGTTCTTCATTATTCAAATAGAGAAATATAAAGTCCCAGGTAGCACCGTAGCAGGCACCCAACAGGCAACAACAGCATTGCATACACCAAACCAAGTGTCCAAGACTCCAAATGATCACTGATCAGGACTGAATTACTGAGTTGCAGCTGGAGTATCTTCCTTGGAAATAGATAGGTCACCAAGTTCTAAAATAATAGATGATCTCAGTTAGAACAGTCAATAGTGTATGAATCATGAAGCACATTAGAATTTGGAAGGAAATAAAAATTTTCTATGTTACCTTCCTCAAGCAAAGCCATTTGTTCGCTGTCCTCTTCAACACTAACATAGTTTCCTCCACGAAGCCAATCATTAGCACAAACAAGACGCTCAACCATTCTTGGGGTTAGTGAGGTCCTAAAGTCATCTAGAGTTCGCCCACCAGCACTGAAGGCTGATTCAGAGGCAACTGAGGTGATAGGAATTGCCAAAAGATCACAGGCCAAATGAGATAATATTGGGAATCTTGTTGAATTGGCCTTCCACCACTTTAGAATGTCAAATTTTGGTGTGTCCGGCTCATTATCTTCTGATAGATACTTGTCTACCTCAGATTTGATAGTTCCACTTCCACCCTCACTGTTAAGTTGCTGAGTAATTACTGACATCCACCTACAACTCACTCTTTTGCTGGTTTCAGCTGTAGATTCAGATTCAGTAGGTTGTGGTGCCTTATCTTTTGGGGTATACATTTCCTTGTACTCTTCAAACAAAGCACGAAAATAGGTATTCACTGTTTCCCATACTTTTTCTCCTACTGTATCCCCAAACATCACCTTAATTCCCATTCTAATGCAATTTGATAGTTTGTATCTAGGATCAATAGCAACACAGAAGAAGACAGTGAAGTTGAGTAGTTGATCCCCCTTATCTTTCTCTCCTCTCTTCTCTCTGTCCCCTTGCCTCTCACCATACTTCTCTCCCCAATACTTGTAGTACTTCATTAGCATTCTTGTACCCATTTCCTTGCTCAACTTGTCTTCACTATGAGACCATTCTCTCAACAGAAGTAATACATCAGCAATCTCATGGAAATAAGTGTGAGATGTTGTACGACTTTGTACAGAAACACGGAGAGTGAGGTCATAAAAGTGTTCAAGAAAATCAGCCATCTTCCTAGCCTTCTCCCAATCTGCTCTTGTTGGTACCCCTGGACCATTCTCTCCTTCTAATTCTAATTTGTAGTATGGGTCTTCATCACTATATCTTTCAAATGCTTTTTGGTACTTCTCTGCAGCATTTAACATAAGATAGGTTGAGTTCCATCTAGTGCAAATATCTAAGTTTAGAAATGCTTTGCTCTGTACCTTGGCTAACTCAGCACATTTCTTAAATTTTACCAACCTAGATGTTCCACATCTGATAAACTTAACAGCAGCACGGACACGTTGAATTGATGTACCAATTTCCTTCAAGCCATCACCTACTATTAGGTTGATAATATGAGCAGCACAGCGCATATGAATGTACTCTCCTTCAGCAACACAACCTTTTGACTCATTCAAGACCCTTCTCATATACTTAATTGCATTATTGTTTGCACTAGCATTGTCTACTGTTATTGTAAAAACCTTGTCAATGCCCCACTCAGCCAAGCAGTTCTCTAATGATTTTCCAATGTCCTCCCCTCTATGTCCCTTAACCAAAAAAAAACCAATAATTTTCTTCTGTAGGTTCCACTCATTGTCAATGAAATGGGCTGTAACACACATGAAGTTTTGGCTGTTCTTAGCAGTCCATGTATCAGTTGTGAGGCAAACTCTTACACAATTGTCCTTAAAAAATTTCTTAAGCTTTTCTTTCTCATCTTCATATACTTTAACACAAGCTCTAGTGATTGTTCTTCTAGATGGCAGAACAAATCGTGGACATGCTAAAGTCATAAATTTCCTAAGACCAGAACGCTCAGATAGGACAAATGGTTGTTCATCTTCAATTATCATCTCAGCAAAACACCTTCTAAGTTTATCTGGATCAAATTTCCAAGTGGTCACAGTACCAAGAGTACTATTGCCATCACATGGTGTCAGTTGCAAAGTTCCTTGATTATCAACTACTGGTTTGTTAGGATTCTTTTTGCAAATCTTTAGATGAGCTTTCAAGGATGACGTACCATTTGTTCTTGAGCCGCAATGAAATAGCTTGGTACACCACTTGCACTTGGCCCTCTCGTCCCCATTAGCAAGTTTGACCTTGCTGAAACTTTCCCATACATCAGATCTTAGAGCCATTGGTTTTCTTTTTCTGGATTCTTCATCAGCTTTCTCTTCATCCTTGGACTGCTGCTGCTCCTCCTTGTCCTTGCTTGCATCTACCACTCCAGTAGTTGACACTCCGGTTTTAGTGTCTTGAGATTGAGTGTGATTAATCTCACAAGCAACAGTTTCATCTGTGTCCCCCATCTAGATCAAATGTTTCAAATCACTAAATCAGAACTTACCAACATAGAACAGCAATACAACACTCATTCACTCAACATGGACTCAACTAGAACAAACGAACAAGAAGTGAAGAACTTACATAGGAGGACTGCTCGGTCCGCGCCGCCGTTGTCTTGGTCGGAGAACTCCACGAGGGTGTTGCCGGCCCGCCGCCAGCAGCCCGTTTGCCGGCCGCCGAGTTAGGGTTTGGGTCTTTGGGCGCAGGGGGCGGTGTGCTCGCGGGCGGCTCGCCGGGGCCTACAGCTGCTGCTCAGGGGAGGGGAGTGTGGCGCTGCGGCCGTGCGGCGTGCCGCCTCGAGCCCGCGACGGCGAGGTAGGGCAGCGGCAGCGCTGCGGCGGCACCCTGCGCGGCTGGCGGCCGGGCTAGCGGCTGCGCCGAGTGACGAGTCGGGGGCGTGACGACTGACGAGTCGGGGGCGTGGCGTAGGGTTGGCCTTGCCCTTGATGGCCTGATGGGCTGCGAACTGGTGGGCCGTGGGCTGCGCTGCCGCGGGATATGTCGGTTTAATCGGTTGTTCGGTTCGGTTTCTCTATAAAACCGCCGCCGCGGGATATGTCGGTTTAATCGGTTGTTCGGTTCGGTTTCTCTATAAAACCGAAGCTGAAGCCGTACACCGAATAGCACAAAAACAGAAACCGAACTGACAACCGAAAACCGAAAAAACCAACAATTCGGTTTGGTTCGGTGCGGTTCGGTTTGCGGTTTGCGGCTAAAAAATGCCCAGGCTGACCTCAAGCTACCTTAGATCCAAACGTCTTCTTACTGTTTCTTTTTTTTTTTTACCATACAACAATTTTGCAAACTCTAAATATTCTTCCCTCTAAATATTCTTCCCCCACCATTTCCTTTATCCTTGACCGCTATCTGTTTGAAATAAAATATAAATATCAAAAAATGATGCACCATCAAAATACTTTGCATGGTAAATATAACAATACTTATCAAAACATCATTAAAAATTCTTACTGCTCAACTAGAAAATCTCATTGGATTAAAAAAAAAGCTAACGAATAAAGCATCAGCCATTTTGAATATATATATCTTTCGTTTCAAATACGAACTAAATAATTCCTATAAAAAACCTGATAATATTTGTATGCTATAGAGGATCGATGAATAGTACTAATGGGATATAAAATATCCAGCGTGCCACGCGCCATTTTCTAATCATAATGTTAGAACAAGCTCGAAATTGTTACAACTCACATGCAAATTAAATGCCATCGACTAGTGAACTTTGGTTTAGTGATCGTGCTAGTCTGCAAATTAAGCTGCATTTTTGTTAATATCTCGATGGAAGGATGGCAGCCACGACGACAGCAACGCCGAACATGAGGATGGCGAGACCGGTGAAGTTGACGACGAACGCTTCGCTCGGATAGCCGTGGAAGGGGAAGATGAAGCGTGCTAGGCCGGTCTCGGCGGTGCAGATGGCCATGAGGAAGATGACGATGCCCAACAAAATGTGCCATGGCGCGTAGTCAGCCCTCATCGTCATCACCGCCCCCGGGAATACAAAGTAGACAAAACCCACCAGCCACTGCAAATAATTTTAGTCACCGGATTTAGTGAAATACAACCGCCTCACCATTTCGCTTAATACTTATTATAAGCGGAAACAGCTTATCAACGGTCAAAAAAATTGTGAATTTAGTTTAAAAAAATTGTGAATAAATCTTTTATATACGTGTTATTAGTATTTTAAAAACAGATGCTGAAAAAAAAATAAACCAATATGAAAAAAAACCCTTAAAATCAACTCTGAAAATTGAGTCATAAAATTCATTGCCTCAATCAATTTGAAAGTCCTCTGGCTCACCTGAAAGGCATAGAGTGCTGCAGTGGTTATCCCAAGCCAAGCATGGAGGGAGCGGATGTCAGGGGCGCGGAGATCATGGTGGAACTTGAAGGCGGCGTACAGGCCGACGGCGGCGAAGGCGAGGGCGACCAGATGCAGCAGCAGGTGCACCGCCTTCTTCACCTCCCTTGACCCCAGCATGATCCTGTACGCCATTATCGCTGCGAGCAACCATCATGAAGTACTTCCATCACTGCACAGCTAATCAGTACTACTAAAGCTATTTCTTCACATATCTCCTCTCGATCAATCACAGCCATTTTCTTTCATTTACTTTGTCTTCTCAACGAATCACACACTTCATCTAATTATTCTCATCTACTACCTCCGTCCCAAAATAATTGCAATTCTATGTTATTTAGCATATATTAAGGTTTGAAAGAAAGACTACGGTGCCCCTCATTAAATGGTGTTTATGTGAGAGTGGGAAGATGGTTGAGGGTAAAATAGGGAGAAATTTGAATGAGATATGATTGATGGGGCAATTAGTACTCTAGAATTACAATTATTTTGGGACGAATTTTGAATCCTAGAAATACAATTATTTTGGGATGGAGGTAGTATTTTTTTAATTCCCGTGCCAACCTCAAAAATACTCCCTCCTTCCAAAAGGCTAAGTCCTATTTCTTTTTTCACCAAAACCAAGAAGCAATTAATTTGTTTCTATGTGACAAAACCAATGAGCATGCAATCAATAAGCACTAAAATAGCTTCTTGGGTTTCTATCAACAATTTAATTTAGCACATAATAACTACAAATAGGACTTAGACTTTTGGAAAAAATCAAATAATGAAATAGGTTTTATACTTTTGACAAGGAGATAGTAATGTATACTCCTACTCCCTATGCCCGTGGATTACTAGTTCATTAGCTGATAATAATTAATTTACCTTCTCCCGTGCAGATGACAAGGCCAATCACCATGAAGAGAGGATGTGCCTGAAAAAAAGCACAGCAACATATAACGTTGGTTGCTTGTAATTGATTATAATTAATTAAGTAAGCTCAAGGTTTGGTACAAACACAACTACACAGGTAGATTAGACAATTTGATTTGACATCACCGTGTAAACGAGCTGAGGGGTAGAGCTCCTATGCCAGGACCAGGAGACGCCACCCCGGAAGTGCAGCACCCAGACGAGCGTGAGCGTCAGCACGGCGGCGGCCAGCAGCTGCGCGACCACCACCACCGGCAGCGCGGTGAGCCGGAAGCTGGCGCTGCTCTTCACCGGCATGACTATGCCTCTCTACTCTTCTTCCCCGACCCGCCGCCCGCCGGCTGACACCCACGTCGAGCTCGCCGCCGGCACCACCACCAATCACCACCAGCAACCACGGAGAGATGGCAATGGCATACAAATGATACAATGCTGCAGTACACGGGTTATAAGGGCTTTGTTCTGGTGATGCAACCAAGGAGTGCTCAAGTAAATAAGAACCGGGTCAATGCAATCGTAAATTTATTTGATAGTTTTCAATCCTGCTAAGCTAGCTATTGGAGGAGATGAATTAGGGTGCGACAAAGCCAAGGAAAGGATGATAAAACCGGAGGAAAGGTCTAAGTTTTGGACTGTTTCGGATTTGTCCGGACGGCAGAGGAAACAGCTTAGATTGAAATCATCCCAGCTGGGACAGATTTAGCTGGAGTTACTACAAATTGCCCATTCATCAGGGATGCTGGAGTAAAAAACAAGGGACGTTATTATGATTTTATATTCGTATCAACCTGCGCGTCGCCGGCTTGCTTCAAGCACATACTAATAGCTTGTCCGTTCCTGCTGGTCCATATGTTGTGTTGTTGTGTTGTCGGTCCCCCTCGCAAGCTTGAAAAGTACACCACACCGGGAAGGCAAATCAATCCATCAGCTCAAATGCGGCCGTCCGTCTGGACTACTTTGCTTGTCATTGCAAGAATTTCTGCTTGTTTGCGCCGAGCAGGTTCTTCTCATCTCCAGCCAAACTGAAACTGAAATTGGTCCACAACCACCTCAAGCCCCACTTCTCTTCTTGTAGTATGTACGTCCAAGACCTGATGATTATAATCCATGCTTCTGGTGAGAACAGAAAATGGATAATGTACCAAAACCGGTTGCATTTTTTTTTGTTTCAACATTCAAGTATATACAGTATACCAAAAGGATATAAACGCAGCCAAGAATATGTATGAACATACCAACATAGCCGTCCTATCTTGTCCTATGTCCTGGCATCGACCTTGGTAACCACTGCATTCACCAATAGACAGTTAGACACCACAGGCCCTGCACATACCACATCATCATGTACAGGGGAAGGGACAGCAACAAACAACACCGGCAAGCAAAACCTAAGAGCCCAGGAAAAATGCTAAGGTGAGGGCTAGTACAAAAAATGCTGACCTGGGATCTCAGATGACAACCATAGAAACCAGCATCCAGGCTGCTTGCAAAATGGAAGAGAGAACCAGCATCCTCCCAAACAGCAGGAATTCAGATATAGACCAAGCCTGTAACAGAATCACGACCGTTCATCACAGTTTCACAGCAACTACACAAGTAACAAACAAAACCAGTACTATATGGCTGACATACAGCAGACAGAAACATCATGGGCTTAACTCTGCTTCACTGGAAAGGATCAAAACTATAACACAGACCATCACACAAGCACTATTAATACCAAGAGAACACAAAATCACGAAAAACAAATACAGCTTAAAATATGCTGGGGACATCTTTTGTGAGCTTACAATATATACACAAGACAGCATTCGGGAACCCATGGGCAACAGAACCAGAGGCAAACATGACAGCTGAATCAAATAATCAACTTTTCTAGATGCGGATTTTGTATACAGAGGGAGCTTATGTCATATGTTACAAAAGCCCTGCCTATGTTAGCATACTAATCCTACAGGACATATCAAGCATGAATGTTCGCTGCAGCAGCAATCTTGCAACAAAAGCTTGAAACCTAACCTGCTCTAGAGCCAGTGAGAGTTGTTTTTCTCCCGGCATGTTTTCAAAATGAAAATGCCCATGCATGTATATCTATGAGATGATAGGTTCTGTTAAAGCATGCTAAAAAGCAAGCATTGCAATGTCAGGCATAATCTGTCCAGCTGACACCTTGCTCAATTCTGGTCACTAGATATGGAAATCCTGTGATGTTTCGAAACACTGACGACATGAAGCAACTTTGTTCCATGAGGCACCCATCCAACAAAATGCCATCTCTAGGTACAGGCACCTGAGGCTTACAACCCATTGTCACTAGAGGCTTGGTTTCATAATCAATCGTCTGGTGTTGTGAATACCAACACCTTCCCATCACCATCCCATCCACCGGTAGAGCCAAGTGCACATCTTCTGAATAGACGCCACCTTGTCCATCCAAGACTGTCCAGGGCTGCACAGACCAAGCAAATGTACAGTTACAGCAGTGCATTCTTTACACTTCTCTTCTTGAACCATTCGACGAATTCGGCCTCCTAGGCATTCCAAAAGGCAAATTATCTCTAGACCTATCACCAGGACGTCCCAGATCATCCAAATTTCTGTAACTGCCATTTCTCGGAACAGAGTTAGAACGTTCATCCTCATCAGGCCTCATGCTAACCCTGGAATCTGGAAGCATTTCCAAATGCCTCGGTCTTGGTCCACCAGTCCTCATGTTCCTTATGTTATTTGAAGTGTTCCTTCCTGGAGTGTTAGAGATCTTCATGGCAAGGAAGTCCTTGGGAATGGTATCAAGATCCATAAAACATTTCCTGGCCTTTGCATCTGCTATCAGTAAAGCCCAGTCCTCAGACTGCATAAGAGCACCGGCATTACCAACAACCTGGAACAGCAAAGATTATCATCAGTACCCAAATCATAGATCTAAGGTCATACAACATTTTTTTGAACGAATTTTGAATAAGGGGAAGAGACGTACCCATAGAGCTCTCCTAGCTCTAGTAAGAGCAACATTCATACGGCGTATATCTGCCACGAAACCCACACCATGATTTGAGGCACGGACACATGACATAATAATCACATCACGCTCCTGTCCTTGAAAAGCATCAACTGTGTTTATGTAAATGTCCTTCCCATCCTCAGTACTCATAACCTCCTCGAATTCCCGCTGAAGACATTTCAACTGCAACTTATATGGTGTGATTATACCAACAGAAGCTTTCTTGCCACCATTAGCTCTCAAGAACTTCTGAAGATTCTCATACAAACGCAAAACAAACTGTGCTTCATGAACATTCTGGTACGAAGATGACCCACCTCTATGAGATTCACGACCATGTGAGATGTCATAGAATATGTAAGGTGCCATTAATGCATCTCTATAATATGCCTCGTCAGGCAATTTGACAACACTTTCACTATCTGTAAGGCGCCCTTGATAGAAGTGTCTTGATGGAAATTCACGGATCTGGGGATGCATCCGATACTGCACCGATAACAAAATGGTAGGGCAACCAGACAACTGGAACCTCTCAAAGAGACTCCTGCTGTACATTAAAGTCCCAGCTGCTTTGCTGATAACAGTTGCAGGGAGCTGTTGTGGATCACCAACCAAGACACACCTAGCTGCACCGAGCGAAAGTGGAGGGAGGACTGCTACTTCACTAGCCTGAGCAGCTTCATCAATTACCACCATATCAAAGCCATGACTAAGGCGGGAAAATAACTTGCGACCACTGCTTGAAACTGTTGTAAAAACAATTTCTGCTTCATTGGCGAAACTTGCTTCTAGACTAGCCCTAGCATCTTCCATATTGAAGTTGCTGCCAACACGGAACCTGCTTTCTAATATCAGCAGGCGTGACATCTCCACCAATACTTTATCCCTGCTTTCTACTGAAGCAGCAAGTTTCTGAAGTAGAAAATCACGACTACGATCTCTTTGAGCGAGCACATCAGGGTCTACTCCAACTGAACCCTGCGATCTGCCAGCCGCTGCAACCATAGTAAGTTCCCTTTGTAGAAGGGCTATCTCCTGTGATAATTGCTGCTCACGGCATTTTAGCTGTTGCAGCCACCCAATCACTTCATCACGGCCCTTCATTAAAAGCTGGTCAGTCCTTCGCTCAACTGAAACAGCTTGAGCAGCACGAGATTGTGAATCAACTCCAACACGGGCAACATCAGGACGATAGACCTTCATTTCACCATCTATAAAACCACGATCAAGAACGCGAGCAAGCAGCTCATCTGTGGCGGCGTTTGATGGAGCACATACAAGCATCCGTGGTTTGGGGCAAAGCTTGGGAAGAGTGCGGAAAAGGTTCTGATCCATACTCTGTAAAACTTCATCAATGGACCCTGCAGCAACAGTCTCCGAGCTGTTGCTTGTGTTACCGCTAACTTGCTTGTAACTTTCAGGAGCAAGCTTCTTGAGCAGAGCAGCATAGTAATGTTGATACTGAACAAGATGGATAACATTTAGCATCCCCCATACCGTATGGGTTTTTCCTGTCCCAGGCGGCCCTTGCACTAATGTGAAAGGCCAGGGTTCTTGTTTCTTCACAGCTCCGTTGCTTGTGCCAGCAGCTGTATGCATTGCAGCCCAATGAATCGCTGATAGCTGAGGCCCGTTGAAAGTACGATGCAGATGATCAGCAAAATTTGGAGTGAAACAATCAGGCATAGCAGGTGGCTGCTCTTCATACTTGGGGAAGTGCTCTGGACTTGGCTGAAGAATAGCATTTTGCATCTGATGGAAAGATTTTTGTTAAAACAACTGGAAAAGAATATTAACAAAGAAAGCAAAATATATAAAATGCATTACCTGAACATTGAGTCTGCGGAATGCATGCAAGGCAACATATTCCCTTTGTGTTGTTGCTAGGGAACCAAGACTAGTCAGATACCAGGTGCTCCGAGGTTGGAGTTTCCTCAAAACATTGGTCTCACTGCTTCACATTCAACACAATAGAGTGATAAGATAATTGGAAGTCAAGTATTCAGAACAAAAGCGTAGACAATAGAAAAAACATTATAATATTATTTGTCCATCAAGCAGGAAATCCTACAGGTCATAAGCACATGAATAATAACAGGTCTTTTTGCTACAGGCTAACAAATGTAGTCTAGCAAATGTATAGTTAATCTGAGCATGTTATGCATACATGGGCAACTGTTTAATGCAACTGTGAGTGTACCAGTGTAGTGCTCACCGGCTCACAAATGAAGAGTTACTTAAGTGCTGGACTGAACTCACTAATTATCTTTACTTTTGGGAATTTGGAAGGAATGCATCATAGAACATTTCAACATAGAAGGCAATGACACAAGTTGTGGCTATGATCAAGGATGACACGCATGCTTGGACCCTGGCAGGAGTCTACTGGATACACAACAAGCCTCCCATCGTTTGCCCTACAACTTATAAGCCGCTTTTGGAGTTGATTTTTGTGGTTTCTTTGTTATAGTTTATATTCCAGCATTGGCTTTCAAATTGCTAAGGGCACATACATAAAAGTTTTACCCTCAAATTTCCTTTTGTTGCTGATAAGCCATAAAGCTTATAATCAGCATTAGCCCAACCAATGGCAGATCTATACTCATTTAAAGAACTCCGATGGTGGTGGTGGATGGTGAGTCTGCCACCACACACCACCACTGCCATATAGGACCCCTAAATACTGAGTAGGTGGACTACTCTATAGACAGATGTACAAATACATATTAAAAGGCAACAACGTAGCTTGAAATAATTAATATTGATTACAATGGGAATTTTTTATTATGACTTTTGGGGCTTTAGAGCGCATGGTGGGGTTCTCTAGCTAAATTATGATGCAAAGCACAGGCATTTACCTAGTTTTGGTAGATAGACCTGCTTGTGTAGGACTTGCTTGCTTGTAGTTTGTTCCATCTAATTTCCTACTTCCTCCATTATCAAGTATAAACATACTTTCCTAAGTTGTTTGGCAGAGACTAAAACTAAGTGTTTTACGGTCGTACATAACCTAGAACCTGTTGCCTTCAATCCCGCTTAAAGAAAGAAATGGCAGGCCTTCTGCTATCCCCCCCCCCCAAACCCCCAAAAAAAAAGGACTCGACAGTGCATGCATGTAAGCGTTGCTTATTGTATCAACCAAAACAATCTGTATGTCAAGCAATGTTATATATTGAGCATTGCATGCTCTAGGAATGCCATGTCTACCAGAATTGAACAAATCCTAATCAGCAGATACCAGATATATGAGCATTCAAGGGACAACACAACTCTAAAGAGTACACATTCAGAATAATAAATAGGTTTGCAATGAAAAAAAAGGTAGTAGAATTACAATTTTGCCAAATACTAGCGTACCTGCTAGAATCAAATGAATCCCCAAGATAGAAGTGAATGATTGCCCCAATGGGATCGCGTGTATCAATAGGCGTATGGCGTCTGACTGTACCAACAAGCCGTCCACACTCTGACTCAGTGTCTTCATTTGAACCAACATTCCGCCTATTAGATCTACTTGATTGGGAAGCTGACAACAAAGAATAGATAAATAACGGTTATTAAAATATTTCCTTTTCAGATAAAAGGACCATCAGGGCTTAATACAAATGAGAAAAATCAAGCATAGCTACCTGAACCAGGCCTAGGAAAGGACAAAACTGCAACTTCACCTTCTTTGAAAGTCCATTTATACTCGTGCATTGGTAGAACAACAACATCATACCATCCTGAAAGCATTGCACAAGCATTGACAGGTGATTGCATTGCAACCAAGACATGTTTGTATAATAGCTTCATGGAAAATGACATCAACAAAACATGCTGGAGATCAGAACATACCTCTTTCACGCCTCTCCACTGTTTTCACCCGCACCATAACATGTGCATCCCTTGATACAGACTCAAGACTCTCCTCATAGGAACTATATAACTGAGCTCGACATTCCTCAAAGAGCAAAGGCTCGAAAACTCTAATGTACTCCTCAGCGGATTCAAAACTTTTAGGAACACATTGAAGTTCTGCCTCCTCTGTTCAGGTAAAAAATTACAAAACATGAAACACGCAATTAGAACATAGACAATGTGATTAAGAACATATACAGCTTGTTGGAATTTTAGAATGAAAACAGAAACAGGAAAGATTCATCAGTCATGTATAAGATTCGTATGAGCCCAACAAAAATATCAGAGAAGAAAGAGTTCTACTTTGAGCAAACTTCGAACAGCCTTAATAACAAAGCACAAGTGCTGAGCATTACCCTATTATTTAAAAATTTAAAACATGTATTTATAGAATTTCCCAGTCCTTGTGGCACATGGTGGCACTTCTAGTTAATAGAAGTCACTAAAAACAGGGTAAAAGCATTCATCACTAGACAGTTCCACAATTTCAAGCAATTGTATGCATTTTCCCATAGAACATCTTATTGTTTTTCAAATTGAGAAATGGACAACAAAGAACAAACCTGGATTGTGCCAGAACTTGTCACTTGTCACCTCCCGTATAAGTCGTTCAACAGAAGTGTCTTGGTATTGCATGTTATTTGCTGGAGTTTGTTTTTTGGAAACAAGAGACCTCTTGTTGACTGGTTTCTGATCTACAGTATTCTGTCCTGTTACAACCGATCTCTGAGAAGAAATTTGTCTGCCCTTTAACTGTCTTGGCATTGGTTGTTGATAACCATCTGCAGGGGCTTCTTCAGCATTCATTTTCTTTGGCCGGCCTTGAGATCCCGTCTCAGCATCACCATTGGATTCAGAAATTTGATCGATTGGATCTGCAGAATTACTTCGTTCCGAACCAAGCATTTCAGATTGCCTCTGATCCCTGATGGTTGGCTGACTTTGTCTTTCTGCAGCTCTTTCAGCAATACCACCACCACTGCGAAAAGCTTCCTTCACAGTACGTGTGACAATTGGTGCTGGAAAGGATGACTGTCTTCTGGGTGTTGATGTCTTCATTGTGCCAGCTTGCTTTGCATCCTCAACATTAATGAACACAGTTTGCCTGGCTCTCTTTTTACCTAGCATTGCCTCTTTGTGTTCATCCAACTTAGGTCTCTTTGAAGGGTTACTTGCAAACTTCAACGCATAATTGGCTTCTACACCTCTAACATCCTTTGACTTGTTGGACAGATCTGAATCATCCCCAAGCTGATTTCCTTTGTTTTCTAAATTTTTCGTGCTCTCAAGTCCTGTGGGACCACGTACCACTGGATCCTTAGGCACATCCATCATTTCGGTGTCACTGGGCTCAGCGGCGGCCTCATCTTTAATCATGTTACCAGATTTGACAGCAGTAGGTTCACTTTCTTGGGAATCCCTTTTCACTTGTGTAGTTGCAGTACCAGCCAACTCTTCTTTGTTGCTAACACTACTCCCTGCAGTGTCAGAAGCAACATCTGCATCAGACCACTCTCCTTCCTCTCTTTCCACTGCCTGAGAAACCTGATTGGAGGACCCAATCATTTTAGCAACACCATCAGAGCTATGGTTGATTAACATAGATGTAGAGGCTATGCTAGCATTCAAATTATCTTCTGCCTTGATTGGCTCCTTTGTAATTTGTGAATCTTTGCTCCTCACAAAAGGCTGAAAACCTGAACCGGACGGTGCGTGCTTAAAGGCATTATTGTTTAATATCCCCTGCGACTGTGTTACTTCCTGTTGCGGAAATAAAGAGGGCCCTGCTGTGGGAACAGGAAGGGTCTTCTGAGGTTGTGACACAACAACTGCGGCTTCTTCTTCTTCAGCTTCTGTTGGGAGCTCATTAAGGTCAAATAACATCCTTCCACGAGACCCCATGTCATGGGTAAATGCATATAGTTTGAACCTTTGGAAACTATTGGACTCGATAACAATCTTCTGGGGTAACAGAACCTACTTTTTGAAAGCTATAATTGACCTTTTGTAGAAAATATCTGCAAAAACAACCAGCACAAGATAAGTAATATACAGAACGAACAGGGTTCTCAAGGGATGCTTGGATGCTTCGGTCCGCTAGTGAGATGGCTGGCCCACAGAAGGCCAGGAGAACTGAACAAGTGAACAATTAGAGCAGAGTCCACATCGCATGATACTGCAGGAAAGGAACATTTCAATCAGGTGAAGTGACCTGAAAATCATTCTTCGCTGGATTCCTTTTGTGCTGTGACCCTGCCCACTCCGTCCTCTTGTTGTCCACTTCCTACCCATCTCAAGAATTTGGGTTCTAGCAATACAGGATCTCAGCATCCAGGCAGACCCTTTTACAGATAAAGTAAATAAGTATGCAGAACATAGCTAAGAACAAAAGAATGATGACACATTGGTGGAAATGTTTGACATAGCTACTTAAGAGTGCAAGCTAGGCTCTAGATTCTTCGTTGTTTCTAAAGGAAAGCAATGTAAACAATAGCACCAGTACTATAGTGTCCAACATTAAGGTTTAGAAAAGGAAGAAGTAAATTAAAATAAGAATGATGTTGGACTTTAACATGAGCTGCAGCAATGTCAGGCTTGCCGATATTAACAGAGTACTAAATAAAAGAAAAACACAATTAAAGCTTGCATAAAACAGAGGCTACCTAAATAACAGGAGGAGAAAGAGTGCTCAACTAGTCTAGAAACTTTCACTAGCCCAACCCAATCCTAGATCTAATCCGGCACTAGCAATCTCCTTTGCAATCCCTTAGTCCAACCGTAACTGTGTTATGATTGTGCATGCGACATTTGCCGAAGAAATACCCTGCCAAAAGGACTCATGACAGAAAATTATCAATGCCATCACCACCAAACTACAAAACCGTAACTGTGTTATGATTGTGCATGCGACATTTGCCGAAGAAATACCCTGCCAAAAGGACCCATGACAGAAAATTATCAATGCCATCACCACCAAACTACAAAAGAGAGTATAAACCTAAAAGACCATCGAGATCTTTGCCAAATCTAAACAACTTTGTCCCACATGAACAAAAATACACACTAAAACCGACAAATAATCCCTTCTACGGAATTTGCCAAAACATCAACCGTGAGTGACAGCCTACTCCCAATCAAAAGATAAATAACCCATAGCTACTCCAAACTATAGTCGGAACTAAAAAAGACCACTTATCTACAAATGCTCTCCCAATCAGTGCAAATGCTACATTCTACAGCTGCATCACAACTATTGAGTTTAAAATTAGAAACAAAAGCAGATATTACTGATCTACTTAACTCTGATTGGAAGATATTGAGTTCTAGCTACCCCAAATTAAAAGCTAATTACAACAGAAGAAACAGCTTCTGCTAAACATGCCCCATAACCAAAGGCTACATCTTTTTCAGCAGCAATGCAACTCTTGAAAAAGAGAAAAACAGCTACGGAATCTATGTGACAAATAATCCCATTATGCAACTTCACAAGATATAGCAACAATCTACAGCTGCTCCCATAAAGAGCTACCTATGACATGAGTACCTTCGGGTAAACACAAACCAACCCCTACACGATTTCAGACACTAAGACATTTACTAAGTAACAAAAAAAACAGGGCAGCCAGCATAGCGGCAGATAAAGCAATAGCTTTAACCTTCTAGTGGTTGTGACCTCTCCACAAAACCTAGCATGATGAATACTACAACATACCAGGACTATTGAAACTTGGAAAATACACCACTGTAGTAATAACTTAAAATGCTTGTTTGATCAACCTAAGCAGAGAAACTAAGAAACTCTAGACAGCAATAGCAGCAGCAGCTGATGACAGCAAAAGCAATGCAGTGACTAACTCTAGTCAATTGTCAAGCACTAGAATTTATTACGAAAATTTATAACAGAGCATTCAACAGACGCGCAGAACAGCAGCACATGGACCATTCGAACTGAATCATCACTCGGCATTTCATTCCACTCGCAAAAACAAAAAGGAGAAAACGTACTACCATCCCTTTATTACCACAACTCCATGACGCAATTCCCCCCGTTGCTCTGCTCGATCTACCAAGCACCCCCGTGTATTTAAACCCACCCCCAGTCTTAAATCAGCAATCTGGTGGAAATTTTTCGTAAAGCGAGGGGGATCGTTACCACCCCGCAAACAGTTACTAGATTCGGCAACCACCCCCTGAGCCCCCTGATCCCCATTTCGTTTCTAGATTCGGCAAAATCTCCTCGAGAGAAGTTTCTCCTCAATAAAAGCCCCAATTCGGCAGGGCAAAAATATTAAAAAAAATCCCCCGCCGCGTCCAGTCCAATCAAATCAAACCACCACCACACATCACGCGCTATCTATCTACTATCAATCAATAATCTATTAGGGTTCTATCCGTTCGCCGTTGGTCGTCCTAGGGTTGGTTGGGAGCAGGGGAGGCGTGAGGGGAAGGGGGGGATCTCCGTACCAGGCGATCGGCGGCGGCGCGGCCAGATCCGGCCCTGTGCCTCGTCTCCTCCTCCTCCTCCTCCCGCGGCGGCGTCGGCGGCTTTGACTAGGGTTTCCCACCGCGCGCTCCTCCTCCTCCTCGTGTGATGCGGTGCGGTGCGATGCGATGCGTTTGATTTTTTTTTTCTCAAGTTTTTTTTCTTGCCCCCCTTTTTTGGTCTGGGTGGTGGTGTGTGTCTCCTCCTCGCCTCCTCCCACGAGCGAGCGAGCGGTCGGTGAGCGTGACGACTGCTTCCTTCTTCGAGAAATCGAGAGAGGAGGAGAGGGGGGGTGGGGGTGGGTGTGAGGCGAGGAAGGGGGGGGTGGGGGGCGGTATTTATAGCCTCGGTAGAAGAGGGTTCGAGGCCACCGGGCTACCCGCACCCGGGTTGTACCCCGCTCCGCCTCCCACGTCACCGCCAGGTAGGCCCGGACACCGGTGGGAGCCAGCTGTCGGGGGGCGCGACGCGTGTCCTCGTGCGCGCGGGGGGCGTGACGCAGATACCGGGTCGGGCGGGGGGGAGGGTGCGGTCGCACCAGGTTGGAATTTTTATTTGTTTTTTTCCTCCTCATCATCGGCCCCTTTTTTTTTTTTTTTTTCTTTCTCACCCTTCACTTCTTCTCCCCTCCTGTGGGCTCCAATTGGATTATTAGTTTTAAACAGATGGATCAAGTACTACTACTACCACTTTTTAGGTGAATTCTTATTTTAAATACATATATCAGAAGAAGGGAGGGGAAACTGAAGAATCTCACTCTGCTCTTCTTTCTTTCTTTCTCTAATTAAGGTATCTCCAATTAATTCTTGCTTGAAATATGGATGGATGGATGGATCTAGTGGCACGGCTATTTATTACAGATGGTTCAAGTAAGACTGGGATTATGGGTGGAAAGGGATCATAGGATATGGTTCAACTTGAATTGTTTTTTCTTTTTAAGGATGGTTTAATTACTGCCATTTTAATTCTTCGGATTTCTAGATGGCACCAATGGCTTGAACCGTGCATTTGGAATGGCACGTTATCAATCACATGGTAGTAAGTTTTAAAATGAGTACATAGTTTATCCAAATACTCTCAACTTAGCAAACGGTTTATTGCCGACAAAATACATTTGCTTGTATCCTAGTTAGGAGGATAATTCGTGCAAGAAATATTCAATTGTTTCTCGTAGCAGTTTAATACGTGTGAACTTTTCGTTATTGTGCAGATTTGAACACGGTAACAAAAAAAGGGGGAGAAAAAGCATGCACGATCATCTTAAGTTACGGAACTACCTTTGGATTGTTATGAAACATTTGTGTGAAGTTTTGACACAAGGGCATTAGAAAACAACAAGCATTATTTAGTCCACTAAATCCTAAGCTTAACATGAAAAGATGTCACATCATCATACACTAACAAATATTACATTTAAACATCATCATGCAACAATGTTATATTATCTTTAATTTTATAGTTCATTAAATTCTATAGCTTTTTAACTACAAGCATATTAAGGTTCTATTCGGCTACACTCTTTTTCACTGTGTTGCAGCCAACAGCCACAGTGTTTTCTTTGTGCAGCTGCTAAACAAAGCAGCCGAATAGGCCCTAAATCATCATCTCACATAATTCACATAATATTTCAATATGTCTCATATTTTTTATACCTATATAGTTCATCCTAACTAATATGTTCTCTTTCTTCTCTCATTAAGCCATATCACATCAATTATTTTGTCCTTAGATGATTATGTATGGTCCAAATTGTTTTCATCCTTTTCTTCTCTTATGAAGTCATATCACCTCAATTGTTTTTAGCTCTTAAATGATTAATCTATGATCCAAACTATCTCCATCATTTTCTTCTATCATAAAGCCACATCAACTTACATAAGTTTATATTGTCTAGCTATCTTACACATTATTTTTACCTAGTGCTATCATAATAAACTCTCGCAGTAATGCGCGGGGTTTCACCTAGTTACAAATATTGACAATGACAAAATTTGACAATATGTAGTATGTCATCTTAAATCATTATATATAATAAAAATAAGAAAAATACAAAGTCACCGTGTTTTACATTTTAGAGCGTTATTAAGTCAACATGTGTCATGTTTTAAAAATTAAAAAAATACCTAAAATTTAAACAAAAAATTAAAACGTCTAACCATCGGGTTTTCACTTAAATCGATGACCTATTAATATTATTTTCAACCACAAAATCTGCTTTTAGAAAACTCTTAAATCGTGACATGTCACTTCTTAAAAATTAGAAAAGAAAATCCTCAAAACCTGAGGGGAAAAAAATCTAATTATCGGTATTCATTTAAATCATCTAGATAAATTAGAAAAAGAAAGTCCCAACCACCTTCCCATCTCATTGTTGGTATTTCTTAACGGCATGACTAAAAATATTCATTCCCAGCAGGAATAGTCCTGGTATATTTATGGTTACAGAAGTAATCCGCTCGTGCACGGATTACCATTGTAGCATTTCACCCGGAAGTATTACAATGTATCATATTTATTTAATCCCAAGGGAAGATTGTGAAAGAGATAACCACGCTAATAAATACACATATATATCACTTGCCTTTATCAAAGCCTAAACAAGGGTTAATTTAATATAAGGATAGAGTGACACGAAGCGAAGCTTATAGATTCCTCATATAAATAATTCTAACTAAGTGGAAGAAAAGATAGAAATAACTCATTTCCTATACTTCTAATATACACTCAACTTTACTCTGCACTTGCTAGTATACAATCATGTGCCCAATACCCCCTAGCAATGCCCTCCTGATATTTCGAGAGACCACCCCGAGTAGTCGAGTTTCTTATGACAACTTGTCATAGCCGTCCAACCGAGGCTAAATACGGAGGAATACCCTTCCCAAGAATTTGTCTTAGGAATATATACTAACGTGGAGGAATACCCGTACTGAGCTATCACCATCAGCGGCCCACCTCTACTGTCTCGTAGCATATATGCCCAAATAATGATACTTACTAATCTAAGCACCATGCTTACATTAATAAATACTACTCTACACCTCTGCAGATGATATAAAGCAACCGATAAATCGGGCATTAAACTTACACCATTGCACCTCTCTAGTAGGCTACCCACACAATTATACTGACGCAAATATAAAGTAAGAGCAGTACTCATACTAAGTAGAATACCGAGAATATATACAGAAGAGAATAAAAAAGCTACTAGAGCCATACCGAAACTCTTCCGGAAGCTCCGAGGACTCCGAGAATTATTCTATACTACTTCCACTTAGCACTAAACTACTAAATAAAGTATGAAAAGGAATCTTGAGCTTGCTTGAGCGTGTTGAGAGAGTGAATGAGCTTCTCCTTTTATAGGGTCGGTATGACACTTACTGCCATGCGAAATGTCCATTTTACCCCTGTAACCGTCAACAGTAAGCTATCCTGGACATCCATGTGTAAGGCCAGCTGGAGCCGCAACTAGCCTGGGCCAGCCCAGCAGGACTCCAAGTTTGGCAGGGTGGCTGGCAGGTGGGTCCTATTGACGGTTGTGGCAGTTAAGGCGGTTACACCTATCTTGTGGGCCCTCCCTATCCGTTTGCTTGCTTAGGAGTGAGGTTTATTCACTTTCTCTTTATTTTATTTGATAAAGTCCTACAACATATTATTTATTATTCTCTAAGTACAAGTGGAACTATATTATTCTGAAATAAATATGCATTGCAAGCACAGTTAATTCTCCATTATTTTAGTTACATTGATGATCGAAATTTATCTGTAACGACCGTCAATACTCATGCACATAGCACTACACACCCCTCCCTCCGACTCGAGTTCTATGCTCTTCGTTAATCTCCTCCTCCCTATTTTTTAGCCGTGAAACTTAAATACAAAAAATCAATAATTATAAACAGTACGTCTGATTTCTTATCTACCTATTGCTCAAATTACAATCAAATCAACAATGCAAGATTCATATGTTTATATTTTGCTATATAAGAAATATGACATTTTGGCACAGTCAACCTATCACTTATATAAGTATCTCAAACACAACCTACGATGCACACACGCGTGAATGCGAGGGTTACCTTCTTAGTAAAATAATAATAACACTGGCCTTTTGCACATTTCAAATTTCTAGTCACAAATATTGTTTTGTGTTGCGTATTAACACAAATGTGTAGAACTATATCTTTTTTCTCATGTTCAATTGCTAGTTATAAAATATCATTTTTGTGCTATGAACTGAATTCTCTCAAGAAAAATCTAGGTTGAATGCACGACGTTTCTCACACATCCATCGACGTCACATGTACCATCTAACCCTATTAATTCTACAAAACGCTACTCCCAAACCATCGCCACCATCGTCTCCTTTTGCTCAGGCCATCATAGATGGTCCTCATGTCCCCATCTTGGATCATAACTTGTTTCATGCCATAGCCTTTTTTTCCCTTGTTCCATAACTCCTAGGCACCCTCCCAATCCAATTATGGTGTCAAAGGTTTGTCCGTGTCTTTGCCCGTCCTGTCTTTCTAACCTTCAGGACATCAAAAATCCTAAGCCGTCACAGTCCTACGTAAATTCCTAAACTTATAGGGGTACATCTGAAAAAGGTAACAAACTAAAAATCACAGGGGTATCCGCGTAAAAGTTGCACAGTTCGACTTCGATCTCACATTCTCACCCACCTGTGACCTGACGCAGGTGCGAACTCGAAAAAAAAAAGAAAAAAAAAACGGTGTAGTGGAGTGGACGGCCTCCTCATCACGGCGCCACGCGCACGCAACTGACGTGTGGGGCCCACGGGGAGGCCACCGCGGTGAGGCCGAGGTGTCAGTGCCATGCTGACGTGGCCAAGCCCAGGCCGCCCGGAGATCGGGAAAGGCAGCGTGTTCGGCTACGCGCACCCGAGGGAGCTCGGTCGGTGAGTCTCCCACTGACGCGTGGGCCCCACCTACCACGTCAG